CCCAGGCTGGCCTTCAAACTTGCCAAATTCCTATTTCAGCTTTACAAGTAGCTAGGATTACATGTATGTGCTACCCTGTCTGGCCTTACTCTCTTATTTTGCAATTATTTATCAAAGAAATCAGGTCATGTGTCCTATATATCCCAAACTTTCTAAATGCTGTTGCTTGTATCCTTATGATGTGATTTGACATGTTTTTTTTTTGCCTGAATGTCCTGTATATGGTACTTAAATCCAGAGGCTTTATCAGATTCAGCAAGTATGCATTTGCTAAGCACGGTGCTTATTGCCAGGTGGGATACAAAAATGACTAAGAAAAAATAAATTTAAAAAAGGAAAAGAAAAAAAGTAGAAAAAACATCAAAATGACTTAGACACAATTCTTAATCTATTGGTTATTATTAAGTATGGAAGATTACGATCCAAATACATGTCTTTAGAGAATGGCGAACTATTTTTCATCTTGGATCAGGAAGTGATTACTTCCATTAGTGTATGTGAGGAATGGAAATGAGAACGTTTTGGGCTGGGCATTTAGCTCAGTGGTTCCACTGCCTGCCTTGCAAGCACAAGGACCCGAGTTCGATCCCCGGTGCAAAAAAAAAAAAGAGAAAGTTTTGTGAAGGCAATAACATTTTAGCAGGACTTGAAAGTTGCCAGAGGACTAACAAGTTAGAACGTTGTAAGCATCAGGAGTCTGTGGGGGCTGAGAATAGAGGCTGGAAGAGGGCTGTAGTCCATGGAGTGATGGCCCTCCAAAGTTACGTTCTAATTCCAGGAGGCTGTGAATGTTAATTTACTTGGAAGGACTATCTTTGCAAATGTAATTAACATAAAGGATGAGATGAGATCATCTCAGAATACTCAGTTGTACCTTAAATCCAATGAAAAATGTCCTTATAAAGAGACAGAAGGGGAAAGACACACACACAAGGCAATGCAAAGACAGGTAAATGGTGCAGTGACATGGCCACAAGGCATGGATGCTGGCAACTACCAGAAGCTGAAAGAGGCAAATGAGTTCTCCCCTAAATCCTCTGCAGGGATACAGCCTTACTGACATCTTGATTTTTTGGGGGGGGAGGTACTGGGGATTGAACTCGGGACCTTGCACTTTCAAGGCAGGCTGCAGAACCACTGAGGTAAATCCCCAGCCCTTGATTTTGTTGTTTTAAGCCATAAATTTGTGATAATTTGTTGTGGAAGCCACAGGAAGCTAACACGTGTGGGTTGGGCCTTGAGTGCATTACAGTGGAATTTTATACTGCATGAGTAGTCAAATTATGCGTTTCTTTAATAAGTATGTTAGGTACATGTAAGACTCTATAGAAACTATAGACTGTATTATGACATTGGGAATACCTCTTCTCTTTGGGTATTGTCTTCCTTCCATTCCAGTAAAAACTAGAGGCCAAGGCGTTTTTTTTTACTCCAGTCTTTGTGACTATCATAGGGTCTTCACCTGTGCTCAGTAAACATTTGTCTAATAACTAAATCGAACTTTAAAGTTTGGTTCATTATTGTTTACTCAGGTGTCCCTTCTCTTTAGTTGCTAGCACAGACTTTTGATTTGGTAGGCTTAGAATTCAGGACATATTTTATTTATTTATTTGGTTGGTTAGTTGGTTGGTTTTTCAGTGCTAGGGATCAAACCCAGGAGCTTGTACATGCTAAGCAAGTATTCTACCACTGAGCTATTATCCCAGATTTTATTTTTTAAATTTTATTTTTAAAAATAAATTTATTTTATCCCATTCCTCCTTCACTTCCCCTCCCCTCCCTATGTACAAAAGCTTTGTTTCCATCTTTTCTTCTATTTTGTTTTTTCTTGTCCTTCTTTCCTTTCTCCCTCCCACCTCCCTTGTTCCCCTTCCCATTTGAACATTTTCTTCCAATTTTCCAATATCTATTATATATTTTAGTCCTTATTTCCACTTTAAATTTCTCAAACCAGAGAAACAATGCAGTATTTAAACATGTGTGTCTGATTTATTTCACTTAGGAGTATGGTCTCAAGGTCCATCCATTTAGCTGTAAATGTCTCAAGCTCATCCTTCTTTATGGCAGAGTAGTACTCCATTATATACAAAAACCACATCTTCTTTATCCACTCATCAGTTGATGGCCATTTGTGCTGTTTCCATAATTTAGCTATTATACACTGTGTTGCTATAAACATAGGTGTGCATATATCGCTGTGATATTATGCTTTTAATTCTCTCGGGAAGATACCAAAAAGGGGTATAGTTGGGTCAAATGGAATCTCTAGTTTTAGTTTTTTGAGAAGTCTCCACCCTGATTTTCACAGTTGTTGCACCAGTCTACACTCCCACCAACAGTGGAGAAGGGTTCCTTTTTACCCACATCCCCTCCAGCATTTGTTATTGTTGATTTCTTGACAGCAATCATTCTTTCTGGAGTGAGGTGAAATCTCAGCCTTGTTTTAATTTGCATTTCATATATGACCAGTGATGTTGAACATTTTTTCATATGTTTACTTGCCATTTCCAATTGGTTTAGTTCAAAAGACGTTCTTCTGAGCTGGGAATGGTGGCACATGCCTGTAATTCCATCACCCTGGAAGGCTGAAGCAGGAGGATCAAAAGTTCAAGCCCAGCCTGAATAATTCAGCAACTTAGTGACACCCTGTCTCAGAAAATAAGCTCTATGCAAAGGCTGTGGAGTGACTCTCTAGTACCACAATAACTACCTACCTAAGTCATTTTTCTGAATTAGGAAATAAGTGCCTATCTGCCAATCCATCACCACTGGGCTTATCCCCTCCCCCATTTCATTAGGAATGGTGAACCACAGTCTTTTCTTTTCTTTTTTTTTTTTTTTTGGTACTGGGGATTGAACTTGGGTCCTCGCGCTTGTGAGGCAGGCACTGGAACCACTGAGCTAAATCCCTGGCTGGTGAACCATATTCTAACTGGGGTAATGGAAGGGACTTATGACCAAAAAAATTTATATTTTGCTTCAAGTATGTTAGAACACTTGTATTTGAATATATATAATTTTCCCATCTGGCTCAACCAATGACTTCAGGGCATTAGTGTTTTCTGCATTTCAAATTGGGTCTACTTGGTATGTGAGGTGGGAAATATACCACAGATCTTCCTATTGCCCACTCTTGTTTGTTTTTTGGAACCGGGGATTGAACTCAGGACCTTGTGCTCACGAGGCAGGCGAAGTGCCACTGAGCTAAATCCCCGGCCCCCTATTGCCCACTCTTTATCATTATTCTGGGCTCTGCTCAAATGTCACGTCTTCAGAGAGGCCTTGTCTGACCATCCCATTTAAAAATAGTCCCTGCTGCATTTCTCCCTGTTCCCATATCTGTTCTTTTTCTCCATATTACTTGGTTATTTTCTGCTTCCTTGTATGGCCAGAGGCGCCACAAAGACAGAAACTTTTGTCTTTTTTCCCCCATTGCTATATTCTCAGCACTTTTAATATCTGACACCTAGAAGGCACTTAATAAATATCTGTCCCCAAGGACTCGAGTTCGATCCCGGGTACCAAAAAAAAAATAAATTAAAAAAATAAATAAATATCTGTCCTATCAACAAATGAGTGAAAGAACCAGAGGTTTTGGAGTCAGTCCTGGATTCCATTTACAGTTCTACTCTTTCTGACCAATTGTTGGCAAACTACTTGACCTCTGTGTGCTACAGCTTTCTAGTGCCTGGTAAGAGGAAATGTCCTTTTGGGGGTGTTGTAAAGATTAATGAAGGATCTATGTACAATGCCAGAAACATTGTATACTCTCAAAATTGTTACTTTCTGTTTACATCCTCTTTATCGAGACTTTAGTGTCCTTTCCTATCAAGCACATCCATTCTCACCAGAGGTAGAAAGATAATGAAGTTTAAATTGCAGGGTTACTCCCTTGCATAGGTCCCAGACTGGGCACGTTAGAGGGGAAGCCATTTGCTGTGTTGGGACTCAAACACTTTTAAGGCAAGTGCTCTAACACTGAGCCTTCTGGAAGATTTAAAAACTTTTTTAAATGGAGGGTCTCACTATGTAGCTCAGGCTGGCCTCAAATTTGGTATCCTTCTGCCTCAACCTCTCAAGTCCTGGGATTGCAGGTGTGTGCCACCTATCCATCTTGGATGCATTTTTTTTTTTTTTTTTTGAGACAGGGTCTTGCTTTGTAGTTCAGGCTGGCCCTGAGCTCACTATGTAGCCCAGGCTAGCCTTGAACTCGAGGCAATCCTCCTGCCTGTGCCTCCCGAGTGCTGGGATCACAGGCGTGCACCACCGGCGGAAGCATTTTTATGCAAGCATTTCTAATAGCCTAGAGTTCTGTATCTCCAAGTCTTGAGTCATTTGCTATGATTTACTTCCCCTTTCTACATATTAATTTAATTAATATTAATTTGTTTTATTTTTCATTTTATAGTCATAATATGCATTCTGTTTCATAAAGAGGCACCCCAAATTGTGTATTTCAGGATCTACAAAACTGAATTTACTCTAGACCGAACCTATTTATAGATTCCATTAAATAAGCATGAATGCATTCAGAGTCTTCATTAACACAGTCAACGGAGCAGCTCCAAGATAATTGTCTCCTCTGCACTGGGCCTAGTAATTTAGGGTGGTTATTAAAACCACTGGGAGGTGGTGCACACCTGTAATGCCAGCAGTCTCGGAGGCTGAGGCAAGATGATCACACATTTGAGCCCAGCCTGGTCCCCAGGGCGTTAGAGCTTTCGCAGTCTATGTTCCCTCCAGGCTCTAGAGGGAGCCCGCGGGTCGCACGCTCGCCGTCGCTCCGGACGACTTTGTCCCAACACCTGCAGAGCCTGGGCCTGAGCCGGCAGGGCTGCCTCGAGAAACAGGGGCCGTGTGCCCTCGCCATTTACGAGAGCGCCTGACCCCATACCAGATTTCCACTGCCGCCCTCACGGGCGCGACCCAACTGTGACCCTCCTGCTTAGGGAATCCTGGGGCCCGGATTTTTGAAGTTCGCCGGCCAGAACCGGACCCACCTGACCCCAGCTCTCGCTACTGGTTCTTGCTGCTGGCTCCCGGCTGTCCTTGTCGGGTCCGGCTCTGCGGAAAACCCGGAGCGGAAGCATCTCCTGCGGCAGGGCGCGAAGTGAGCATGCGCAGTGAGCTGGGCCGGCTCTCAGCGCCAGGAGGAAGCGTTCGCCGTGATCCCAGCGGCTGCGCTGGGGTATGTGGTACCGGCTCGCGTGCCTGCTGCACCCCGCGCTGCCCAGCACCCTCCGCTCCGTCCTCGGGGCCCGCCTGCCACCCCTGGAGTGTCTCTGTGGGTAAGCGATCAGAGCACCCGGCCTTCCAGGCCCACAGATCACGGTGGTTTGGCGCCCGGCTGCAAAGTGGTGATTCAGCACTTAAAGCTGCCGCGGTAGCCCCTCACGCTGACGGTCCCGCCGGCCTGGGGCGCGACGACAGACAGTCTAGGAGGGCGGCTCGGCGGGCGGGAGCCAGGGGCCTGGGCCGGTGAGGGCGGACGCGGGCTGTGAGCCAGCGACGTGGGGCGGGACGTGAGATCGTACTGAGTCGCCGGGCCGCTCCCGGGAGCCGCTCGGGCGGTCTTCCGCTCGGAGCTGGCGACCTACCGGCCGCCCTCGCCCTCAGGTGGAGGAACCGGGTGAGCCGGGGCGGGGACTGGGCCGCTTCTCACCCTGCTCTCAGCTTTATCCTGAGGCTACTGAGTTTCCAGGACCGGGGAAATGCCCGCGTTGGGAACTGTAAAAGTTTTCCTGTCTCTGTGGCAGTGAGGAGACAGTGTTGGAGGATATTGGGGAGCCTAAAGATACCTTGCGATCCTCCGCAGGAGCTCCCTTATTGTACACCTTTGACAGCTGAGCCCCTGAGGGATTGTGTGATTTCCCATAGTTGCAGAGATTGTGTCAAAACCAGGATTAGGACCCTGCTTCTTTTTGCCGTCCGGTGGCGCGCTCCTTCCACTTGAACACTGCTCTGTGTGTACTAGACATTTTCAGTGGTGTAGTAACGCCAAATATCCTTTTGTAAATAGAGACAGGTAGTATTGTCTGGCCCTACTTAGGTCGTTATTTGAGCCCCTCCTAGTTTTAATCAGTAATGTGTAGGACCTGTTACACATGCAGGGCACTGGGATAGATGCTGTGTGTAAGTACGTGGTCGGCCTGCCTCCCAAGAAACTGACTTGGTTGGAGCAGTTTGATATGCCACAACAGTATAGCCAGCCGAAAAGGATGACTGTGACGAAACTAGTAAAATGGAGAATTAGTTTGTCCTTTAGAAACACAGGGAGGGGCACAGAGAGATTAGCGTGTCTAGGCTGGCTTTAGAAGGAATGGCAGAAGGGGTGGAATGTGGGTAGGTGTGGGTGTAATCCAGCCTAGGTGTCCAGGTAATTTGTATTGAGAGGATAATGAAGAGATTAGTTGAAATTTTAGAGAATTTTCCGTGAGGGAATTAGGAGGGCCTGGTCCTATATTATAAGGATAAGATAATGCTAGCCTGGGCCTTGAATTTTAATTGGGATTTTTTTCCCCAATTAAATAAATATGTAGAATAACAGTGAATACTGTATAGGAAGTCGTTAAGAGTTTTCAGCTGGGGGCCGGGGATTTAGCTCAGTGGTTCAGGCGCCTGCCTCAAAAGCCCAAGGATCCGAGTTTGATTCCTGGTACCAAAAAAAAAAAAAGTTTTCAGCTGGGATGATCTAGTGAATACGGTAGTTAGTGACTGTGTGGGATGTAAGGGAGGAGAGAGGGAAAGAGGGCTGGAGGGAGAAAAGGAAAGAGTGAGGGAGGGAGAGAGGGAGAGAGAGAGACAGAGATCTGAGAAACCTGCCTATGTAGACTTAGTCTTTACTGCTTGGACTGTGATGGCAGCAGTGATACTAAGAGGGGCTAGTGCAAGTGAAGAGTCGGTGGAACTCCCCCCCCACCCCCGCCCTTCGTATTATCCAGGGCGTCACAAAATCCTCTACAACTTGCAAAAAGATCCCTGGGCAAAGAGAAAGAAGTAGGGACAGTGAATATGGGCAGGATGCCTTCTTCAGTCCTCTTGCCAGTCAGAATAATTTCTTTTGTTCCAAATTCATTCCTGGTAGGCTAGGCTTAGCTCTGATTGTCTGCAGCGTGCAGAATTTGTAGTTCTAAAGGAAGCATTTGTCTTAACAGTTTTATATAGGTAAGTGCTTTGTGTGTTTTAGGTATAGATTTCTATATGGGTCTCCCACTGCTTTTCACTTTCACTGATGAAGTCCAGGGCATAGGATGACCAACCAGAACTTTAAGATAAGGTTCTTTGAGAGGGAAGTTCAGAAAATTGAAACCAAGATAACCACACAGCTCTTTACTGGAAGAGCATAGATTTAACCAATGTCTGTATGGCTTGAGAGCCTGAACTATTAACCTGTTGGGTTATTTCTCCTCTCTCAATATTTGGGGATTCGTTTGCTGGTCAAACATCTTGACGAAGAGATATAGAAGATCCTGTATGAACCTGGGCATGGTGCCACATGCCTGTAATCTCAGCATTTGGGAGTCTAAGGCAGGAGGATTGACATGAGTTCAAGGCCAGCCTACATAGCGAGTCTCTGTCTCAAAAAACAAGAAAGATCCTATATGTGTATTTGGATAATTTCTTAGTTTTTCTTTCTGGTTTATCACATCTGAAATCTTATGTAGTATATTCTTTTGTCTGCTTTTAATCTTATGGAAAATTTTTTCTCTGAGTTACTTTTTTTCATTTAATATTTTTGAGGCCTATTCATATATATGTATGTATATATACATATCCATATATAATATACACATATATGTATATTATATATAGAGTGAATTCATTGCTGAGTGACAGTTATATTTGAGTACACCACTAATTTTCTATTCTGTTGTTGATGGTGATTTGCTCCCCTCCCATCAGTAATCCATCTTATTGACCCACACTCTTACCCAATCTTTAGGCATCTTCTCTACTTGGCACTCATCTATTTAGGATTCTCATCCAGTCACATTGATTTAAATTCTATCTGTATATGCTTTGTTTAATATGTAGCCATTAGCAACATGTATCTGTTTAAATCAACAAAATAACAATTTAGTTCCTCAAACAGCCTGGCTTTCAAGACATCTGGCCAAGTGGCTACTACTTGAGACAGTGCAGATACAGAAGATAACCATCACCACAGGAATTCTATGAGATAGGCCTGATTGAAATTCTGACAACTCCCAAGTGTGTATCTAGCCAGAATGTCTCCTCTGAATTTTAGATTTAGGTAATAAATTTCCTATTCAGCATTTCTCCTTGGATACCGTGAGTATTAATACTGATCTGTCAGTTTCATTGGATTAAGAAATGCCTAGCACATTAATAAAGCATGCTTCTGGGTACGTCTGGGTGAGTTATGGAGGCATGACTTTGGAGACTACATATGGTTCCTTGCCCAGTCCTCTGTGGCACTATTACCCTCCTCTGTTTCCCAACCACCATGAACTGAGCAACTTTGCTCCTTGTACTCTTCCAGTATGATATTTTGCCTTGGAACCAGACTATCATTGACTGAAATGGTGAGGCAAAATAAACCTCTCCTCCTTTAAGTTGCTGATGTCGGGTATTGTCCTAGTGACAGGAGAGTGACTGACTGGTACCAGAGAGTGAGGTTGTTCTATGACTGTGGTTCTATGGTTTAGAAGCCTTTGGGTCAGGTTTGCTGGAGTTTGGAAAGGTTTGGAGATGTGGGCTAGAGAAGAAGCCTTAGAATACAGATGGCAGAGCCTGATGGATGGTTCTGGTCAGGGCTTGGAAGACCAGAGTGCTAATAGGAATGCAGATAGTAAAAGCCAGACTCAGGAGATTTCAGGTGGGAACAAGGACTGTAATGGCATTTGGACTAGAGAACATGTGTGTTATACTCTGGCAGAAAATTTTGCTACATTTTGCATTGTCCAGAGACTTTGCAGAGGACTGAGGTTAAGGGCAGTAGACTAATCAGATGAGGAAATTTCAAGACAGCCCAACATTCAGGCTATGGCTGGATACTCTTAGCTGTTTTTAGTTAGATTTATAGTAAGAATAAGGGGCAAAAGGAAGAGCAAAAAGTTTTGGAAAATTTAAATTTTGGCCCAGAAGGAACCGTGCATAAAATTGGGACCAAAAGAGATGTGACTGCTAAAACAATTAGACCATTAAACAGAAACCAAGTACTTTGTACAGGGATAAGAAGTAAGATGCCTTGAGAGCATCTCAGAAATCAGCAAAACCCCACTCATTGTAAGACTCAAGTTTACAAAGTGTCAACCTTTCATTTGAGGAGAGAGTTCCTAGGACCCCTTACTCAAGAAAGGCTTCTTTGGAATTGATTTCCTCAGATTCATTTCACCATACTTCACCAGCCAGGTATTCAAAGGCTGCTGTAGCCAGGGGCCTGGCTACTGTCCCTGCTTACAGCAGACCTTGTCATCATCTGTGATGCTGGTTGTACTGGCATTCAGAATGCAAGGGTTGTGGGGTCAGGGAGGCTTGCACCCAGATTTCAAAGGAAGACCTCAAAGGTCAGGTAAAGAGACCCTGAGAATGCAGTGTATGAAGCAGTGGAGATTCTATGAAGTTGGGAGATCCCAGAAACATGGAATGTTTGCTGAGGAAGCTGGAGGGTATGAGTGGAGCCAGCCCAAGAAAGAGGCTACATGGGCTGTTCTAGCAAGGCCATAGGAATGGGGCCACCCAAGCCCTTTGGAAGTCGTGTCTACCACCACTGCCCCAGATGCTAAACATAATGGACTTAATGTTTGCCCTGCTGAGTTTTGGTCTTGCTTTGGTGTGATTCTTTTTTATCCACTCTTCCTCCATTTTGGAAAGGGAATGTTTATCCTGTGTGATTGTACCTTGGGATTAGGCAGTAAGTTTCTGATTTTTACAGAAATTCACACCTAAGAGTTTGCCTTGAGTCTCAGAAGATACTTGGACTTCTGAAAAATGCTGTAACCATTGAGACTTTGGGGAAGGGATTATTTTGTTTCTGGTTTTGTGTGGGATAGTTCCATTATGTTAGGTGGAATTATGAATTTGCTATTGTTATTATTCTGTATATGGTCTCTTGCCTGTTTCTCTCTGGCACTATTCCCCTGTTCTGCTTCCTGGCTGCTATGAACTGAGCAACTTTGCTCTTCTATGTACTTCCACCATGATGTTTCTGCTTTGGAGCCAGCCAATCATAGATTGCAAATGTGAGCTGAAGTAAACCAAAACTATGAACCAAAATAAACCACTCTTTTTTTTTTTTTTGGTACTGGAGATCAAACTCGGGTCC